AGTTCCTCTGGAGAAAATGGTGGACTCAGTGTCATTATACCCTGCTGAGGTCGCCACAGCAAATTGACACTGAGTGTCCAAGGCCGAGGCACCCACCCAGAGCCTCTTTCTAGAGGTCGTTGTATTTATTTCCACAACGAGCCTTTTTCCTAGTCAGTCAATAATGTATTCTGGTGAACGGCCCATAGATCTAATCACTTAGGCTGTTGTTAATGGCTCCAGGGGGACAGGGTTCTCTACCTTTCAGCTACCTTTCACCCCAGAATCTCCAGGTATTTCTCAACCAAGAGCTGGCAACCCTAATAAGGTCCTGCAGGGCCTTGACCTCTTTTGGGGAGCTCATTCTACCAGAGTGTAGCCGAGTCATAAAAGCAGCAATCCCCAGTAACCCCCCCCCCCAACTAAATTAACTTTACTGATCTCCAGCAGGCCAAAGTGAAGGGGCGAAGAGATCCCCTGGGACAGAAAGTTCCAAAGGCTGTTTTCCACAGAAGGAAAAGCTCTGTCCTCCATGCCCACCAGTCTCACCTCTGTTAATATGGCACCTAAATCAGGCCACCAGTAGCCTAGCTCAGAAACTCCTCATGTAACCTTTAAAAACTCTGTAGCCACTGTAACAAAGACTGAAATTGGATGGCACAGATGAATATTCAGGGAGGACCCCAGAGTTATCTGTGGCTGGTAATTTAAAGACAACAGCTTCAATCTTAAAAGTACTTCCCTGGGAGTAAGCCCCACTTACTTGTGAGTAGACCTGCTTAGCTTGCAGCCAATAACTCCTCACCCATTTCATCTCAAGTCAGATAGAAACTGTATCCCATGGCGGAACTCAGGATTCCCTGAGCATAGAAGGCCCATTTTGAGGTATCTGCTTAGCATTATTTCTCCTGCACTGCACATTCGTCTAGGGTCACCTGTACATAATTTTTCTACTACAAGCGACAAATACTGAGAACAATGTCTAAGACTGTCAGGTGTGCCTTTTCACTAAATTCTCCCACAATCTCAAGGCTCTCCCACTAAATTTTCCCTTTATTAGTTATGTCTCCACCTCCTTTACCATATCCATCTGTTCAGAGGCTCTAGTCTTGACTTACAGGAGTTGCCTTTATGCTTTTATATTGGTAGAGAAGAAAGTTTTTATTTGTCTACAATCTAGACAATAGATTCTGAGCAATTTCTCTTCTACCTAGGGGGAGGCATTCTCTTAAATTATCTACCTAGAGATAAGCAGTGATATGAGGAATACATATTGAAAGTTACATACTTTTAAATTGCATTGATTCTAATGGGAAAATTTAACAGTGTGAGCCTGCCTTGGAATTAAGAACATAAGAGAAGCCAATGTTGGATCAGGCCAATGGCCCATCCAGTCCAACACTCTGTCACGCAGTGGCCCAAAATACCAGGTTACTCATAAGTAATTACCTTTTAGTAAATTAGAACTTACTCTTCAAACTAGAAGTGTAGTCCTAAACAGAATTATACCTTTTCTTTGTGCAATAGGCTTCCCAAGCCCCCCCGGGGGGGCAGGAAAACCCCCGCCCCAGAGGCCCATTCCCCGCCGGCGGCGGATCGGGCCCCAGGGGGAACCCCACCCCGACATGCGTGTCACCCGGAAATGACACAACCACACCGGACACTCTATAGTTTTTCCTCGGATGGTTGTGGCCCCGCCCCCAGCGTGCCCGGCGTCCTAATGTCACTTCCGGGTGATGTGCGTGCGGTGCGCACATGTGCGCACCAGTTGCCGGACGGGAGTCCCCTGCTACGGCGATTTTTCAACTTGGCAACCCCAGAGGTCATTTTGGGGGGGATGCGGGGGAACGCAGTTCCCCCGGGTGAGGTACGGGGGGCAGGGCACATGACGAAGCCCTGCCCCCTGCTTCCGGCCGCCCCGCTTCCGGCCCTCATTCAGCCAGGAGGAGGCAGGAGAAGAGGGAGGGTAAGTTGCTTCCTCCCTGCCTCTCCCCACCCCTGCCTGCCTGGGGCCAGGGAGGGCCTTCGCGGGGCTTCCTTGCACTCCCGCCGGCCTTGCAGGTCCACCGCCGGGCCCCTCATGGGGCTCGGCAGTGGAGCTGCAAGGCCGGCGGTGGCGGCCGGGACCGTTGGGGGTGAGGTGTGTGGCCTTATGACATATTTCCGGTGATGTCAGGGGGTGTGGCCTTATGACACACTTCCGGTGATGTCAGAGGGTGTGGCATATGCTAATGAGTTATGCTAATGAGTTCCCCTAGCTCTCTTTCTACGAAATGACCCCTGGGCAACCCTATTGTGCAAGCATAGAATGATGTAACTCTGGTTTTGTTGCGCTGTCCGTTAGTGAGCTGTAGCCTAAAAGTAGTTAATGGCTGCAATCACACACACTAAATAATCCACTTTCAATGCACTTTCCAACTGGATTTTCACTGTGTGAACTGGCAAAATCCAATTCAAAATAATTTAACAGTGAACTGGCAAAATCCATTGCTTAAAGCAGATGGTGTTGTTCTCTTCCTTTTTATAACGACCCAGTCACGTGGGTTAGCCTAAGAATATGTTACTGGCCCAGGGTAATCCAACAAGCTTCCATGGCAGAGTAAGGATTTGAACCTGGGCCACCTGAATCCTGGGTCCAACATTCTATCCACTTACACTGCACTCACCACACTGGTTAAAAAGATTTAAAAAAAAAAAAGATACAGGCCTGGTTCCGAGACTTTGTTCCCCTTGTGCTTCTCTCCAGCAGTTGTGAGGACTTTCTTCTGCTGTGGTGCTTGCTTCCTCTGTTATTACCGTAGCACTTCCATCTGTGCAAGATCAATGTTCTTCAATGGCTGCGGTCACACGGAACATTAGCCACGCAAGAGAGACAGAAGACAGGCGGATTTTCCGGGCGCGATCTCACGGCACATCTGGGAAGCATAGCACTTCCATGGCACAACTGAGGCTTCCCGGCGAAAACGTGCTGCAAAAAACTAGTAGCTCGAAGGTACTAGTTTCCGGAAACTGCGGGGCAAGGGCGGGCGTCTGATCGCGTTTCCAGTGGCATCCGGTGCCCGCCCATGTCCCCTTGTGAAAAAGGTTTTTTCCCCCCAAGTCTCCGTGGATGCGCACACGCACCCAACGGAGCATGCACATTCGTCATGTACACAAAATAAGAAAACCAGTTTGCCGCACCGTGCGCTTCTTCGTTGCGCACAGGCTAGTCCTGTGATCGGCACCTCTCCCTATCCATGGAACCTCCACGGTACCTCCACAGGACCTCCACGGGAGGTCTGATCGCTTAACCGTGCGTTAGTTTGCCCCGGGGCAAACAGCCACGCTTCCCCCCCGCATTTTCCTGCCCGTGTGACCGGAGCCAATGTTACCCTGGATGCATATGGGCCCAAGCCAATAGATGGAGTTACCAAAAGTTACTTGCAAAGGATTTTACTTTCACCATTGTTTATGCTGCATCAGTTTTGTGGGTGCTGAACACTAAAAAGGAATGCATCTTCCAATGGTCAGGTTTTATACTTACCATATAATGGAAAAAAATAGTAACTAGGGATCGTCCCAGTTTATTAACCAGAATCTATTACTGGGCGAGCATTACTTAGCAAGAGAAAGTGTGTGTGTGGTTCTAATATCGTGAACAACTACTTCTGTTATTCAGAAGCGAAGTGGTTGGCATATCCTGTATTCATCCTACCTCCCTAGTTCTTGAAAGGGACCAGTTGCTCATTTGAGTTGGTGGAGAAAAAGAATAGATCTGTGCATAGAAATGCTACACAAGTACACATCATCAGAATTTACCAAAAGATGCCACTTAGAATTGCCCTCAGTAAATCAGTGGCATTGACTTCTATATAATGGGCTGGATCTTTTGAATTGCAAGCAGAAGGTACTTACAGACATGGATGTTTCCCACCTTCCTCCAGCACCTGCTTGTAACTCGTCCCCTGATAAGCTGATCCCGGGCATTGGGGAGCCTTATGGACAGAGTACAACAAGACATGCAACAGGACATGTGGGGCTGCAGTGAGGCAGGAGAATCAGGTGCAAGACCCTACTTCCTGTCAGCAGTGGCTTTTGCCTAATTTTCACTCCTTGTTAAATCCCCTTCCCACCCCCAGTGTTGTATGCAGTTTTGTCCATGAGATTCTCCTGCACCAACTTTTCAGGGATTACAAGAGACTGCAGGGGGAAGGGCCCACCTCCATAGGATCAAATCCACTGCCTTTAGCATTGGAGCACCTGAAAGGAGAAAGTCATAATAAAAAAGGGCAGCTGACACCATTTTTTATTGCACAGGAGTCATATAGGATGAAGCTGATGTGGTTGGCTGTGTAGCCTGTGGAAAGTTTTAGGAAAGTTTGACCTTATTGGGAGAGCTGTCTCTAGCCTTACCTTTGTTGAGTTGCCTTTTCAGCCCATCCTGTGCTAGACAATGGCTTCAGGAAGCAAAGCTTCCATGCTTCTGTGTATAGCAAGTGATGCTGGGAAAATAATTGTTCTGTTGACAGGAGGTCCTGGGCTCAGCCTATAATATAACACTATTACATGTCTACAGGTTGTGATTTTTCATTGAGGCAATGGCTGCAGCACCTTGATCTGAATACTTACTAGTGCTACTACTTCCTGCGCATTACTGTAGTCTGCCTTCTGAACACTTGCTACTATATCAGCTAAAAAGAAGGGAAGCTCATCCTGTGCAAATTTACCCAAGTGTTAAGAGCCAGAGGCCATTGTTTTCACAAGACATGTAATAAGTGAATGAGGAGTACTGAATTTTTCCTTGTGATTCACAATGTGCAAGTGTCACACCTCAAGCAAAATGCAGGAGTTTAAAAACATCTAGTTTTAGTGATCACTGTTTATTTATAGAGCTCATTATTTTTTCAGCCAATGAACAGTCCAAGTGATGTAAACTCACAGTGAGTTTTGACAATATACTGATCAATTTTTTACTACCGGATCTGTATACCCATTTAGATATTTTCCTTCCCAAGACACATCTTTGTTACACAATCAGAAGGTACAAATTTATTTTCATACTATTGAAATTCAGAGGGTCCCCCATTAATGTAATTGTGCTGTGCCAGAGAACTGGGCCTGTTGTATAAAAAGCTGCCCAAGGCCACAAAGCATAACAAACGGTACTGAAATAAGCCTCTTGCTCTGAAATTCCGCAATCATTTTTTTCCTAAACAACCCTGTGTACAAAGCCTGGTTCTTGTTCAAAGCTCATGGGCTCAGGATGAGCCAGCAGGTACTCGCTCATGATTTGCTTTGGTTCTCTATCAAATCTCAGGCTGGATCTACACATGCAGCAGATTGACAGAGAAGGGTGTTCTGTACCATGTCTGAGAGCAAGTGGAGACACCTTCTCTGTTACCTATGAGCATGCCGTCCCCAGAGACTTCTGCATTTGATCACTTCAAGAAGATCCTCTGACTTCACTGCCAGGTCTGATATCAAGAGAGGTTGCCCTGAAATTGGCAAGAATTCCTTTCGATGTTCCCAGCTAGGCATGGGTCCAACTGCTGGGATGTTCCAAATAGCACATTTTGTCTAAACCTCTACAACTCCTTCACATCCATGTTTGTGAGTAATTGCTGGACAATAACCTCCTGTACTACTTCAATCATGGGGTCAGGGAAGGCCATCTAGCCACTGCTCAGCCTTTGTCCAAGAGGCCTGTCAGTTCTCAGGCAACTCAATCACCATAACCTACTTCATCAAGATGTAATCTGTTACCTCACCTCATCTGAATTTGTCCAAAATTCAGATTCACTAATGGGAAACCAGACCCCACACCCTTTGACACAATCCTGCTGCAGATCCTAAACTCTGCACAAGATCAATAATCACAAGTCTAGCTATTTCAAAGCCTATAAAAGGATTGCAAACCTGAAGATTTTTATTTTGTTAGCAGAATAAAGGAGCTTTTTATCTGAGAGTCCCTGGCTGGTTTTTCTTTCTTGACTTGAATGCTGTGCCACATTGGAACCCAAGTATATATTAGAAAGCTCAGTCCTATATCATTGCCATGTTTAACACAGTTTGACCCTACAGGTGTAGAGGATGCTTAGCATATTGTGGCCTTGTCATGTGGCCTTGTTTGGGCAACACCTCCTACTAAACAGGTCCTGTGCTTTATTTGTTTAAAAAAAGTGCCAGTACTTAGAAGGTTGTACCAATTTCCCCCTCAGGACTTGGGAGAGCCCTGAAAAAAAGGTGCCAGGGTTCAGTACTGTCACAAACAAGCCCTGGGTCCATGCAAACAAACAAAAATACCCTGCCACATCAGCTGGAAGTTTCCTTTCCTGCAACAGATTTCTACTTGTAGTCAGGTGTTGTTTCTTTAACCACATGGAGGAGCATTTTAAAAAATCTCTGCTTCCTAATTCGACAGCGTGGGTAAACTGCAACTCACTCTGGAAAGAAAAAAGGAGAGGAGCTGCCACCAATTCACAGGCAGTTTAGACTGACGAAAAGTATGTTACACTTTGAACCCTACTCCTTTTTAGTGTTAATAAGGGACAACTATTGTGTTCGATGAGCTGTATCACTTTACACTTGTTCTCATACTTAGGAGTTTACTGACAGAATTTTTGGCACAGCACAATACATTTTAAACCAATATATCAACAGTTTCCTTCACAGGAAGAGGATTGACACACTTCATTAGAAGGAAAAATAACCATATTCTTGAGAATCATCGTCATTATTCCTTTTATATTGTTTTGGGACTGGAGCTTTTAGGAAAGAAACACTTCACTTTGCATTGAAAAATGAAAGCTGCTCTGTATATACATAACATATAAATTTCCACGCATCAAGTACTTTCTTCTCTAGTCCCATTACCTCTACACGGGGGATATTTCAGAGAGAGTGGCTTTGGGATCTGCTCCTTGACTGACTTTAGGCTCTTTGTCACAGCCCTGCAATGATGTGCCTTATCAACACAGCCATCAGCAGTGCTTCTGTCCATGTTCCCAGTATTTTGCTGCCAAGCAAGTGTTGCTGGTGGATCTTTGTAACAAATCCTCTGTAGTTGACTATTGTGTTGTCACAAGTTTTACAATCATGCTAATGATACGAGATCCACGGGGGCAGGTAAATAAATCCATGCTGGGGTTTTTGATTTTATCCTGGAGTAGCTGGTCAAGCTCACAGCGAAGTTCTTTTACTAGTTCTGCCACCTGAAAACACAATAAATGTTCTTATACACACACATGCACGCAGAAGTGGTCCACAAGTCACGGGCTATCCTGCTCTATATTTCTTTGCCTAGATCACCCAGCACTGCTGTAGCTGTCCTCAGCCAATGCCTGGCCACTGCAGTGAAGCTGAACAAGGTGAAACAATCCTGACAGCATGGAAGTGTTGCTGGTTGGTAAGATCGAGGTCTTGGGAAATACCATGCCTCTGACACTTGATGGGGTTCAGCCAGTCCTGGGTGACTTGGAAGTCGAGGGGTTATTACTGGACCCACCATGATTGCTGGAGAGGCAACTTAATTCAATGACAAAAAGTACTTTCTTTGATATGCATTTAGCATGAAGGATGACTGTACCTTGACCCAGCTGAAGCAGGCTCTGGCTTATACCTTCAGTGAATGTGATGGTCTGTAACAGGGATTCCCAACCTTTTTAAGCCTGTGGGCACCTCTGGAATTCTAAGACAGGGTGGTGGATGCAACCACCAAATGGCTGCCACAGGAGGCAGAGCCAACCACCAAGTGTCAGGGAGGTTATACAGAACTCTAATAGTAACTTCCCACTGTTTCAGGCAACAGTTCTGGTGAACAAGATGCCATTTTAAAAGTATTGTCTTCCATACACACAGCTTACCTTCAGTCACACAATGAAGTTCCTTCTGCTATAGTGGTAGTTGCTACTGAAGCAATGTTTTTAAAAATCTGCACAGCCAATTAGACCTCCAGTAGCCACCCACTTCCTGAAAACACAGCAGGCACCAGTTATGGTGTTGGTGGCTGCTGTCACTGAAGACCCATGTTGTATAAGATGTCACAAGACTCTTTCCGGCTAGGGCTATGCAAGTTATACTGCACCATAATATGGCAATACCCTGTAGAGAATGGTACCCAGGTGATGAAGGCAGCTAAGATACATTTCTGTTATAAAGAATAATTGGATTTTTTTAAATTTGGGAAGTCAATACAGTAGACCGTCACCAATTGTGATTTCAATTATTCAGTCCACACCTAACTGTGGGATGTGGTTAGCACTGTGCATAGGACCCTTCAGCATGCTGCCCCTCCTCTTCCACAGAACTTTCTCGTTCATCAGAACTCTGCCTGCATGTTCAGGAAGTGTGTGCAGTGGGCTCCTTGTAAAAGGTTTTCTTTATGGCTGTACAAGGTTGAATGAGTCCCCCCTTTCCTTTTGCGGAATAATTTCCCCACCACAAGCACTGCAAGAACACAAAGCCTTCTGTATTCTGAGTGGCTAGTTTCCTTACCTGGTGTGAAGCTGCAACAAACCGAATCCACCCATCGTCCAGGGAAACCACAAACTCAGACTTTTGGAGCTGCACATTAATACGGCCCCCTCCAAACAAGATCAGCGGGTAGACTGACACCATGCTGCAGTCTCGAATGAACACCCGGCTGGTTTTTATCTTCTCATGGTACACCAAGTAGGGACTCTCAAAGTGCCTGGTCTGAAATGTTGAATCCCAAGTGATTTCATGCGACACACAAAACAGAAATTAAAATGGTATAAATAAAATGGTAACCATTGTATTAGACATTGTTTTAATTACATAATACACACATTTCACCACAGGTTATGCTGTACCAGTTTAGCATCGGAAAAGCCTTTAGTAAAAGCTTTAGATGGGTGTAATAGAAGGAACAGGAAGGAGGAGACAGCTCATACGGACATCTGCATATGCACATAGCCCATTTATAACAATGGGACTTGCAGATTTATAGTTATATGGAATAGCACTAGGTGGTGGTTGGTTTGTACACAGATTACACAAAAAAATTGGCGATCAAGATAGGTAGCCATGTTTGTCTGTAGCAGCAGAAAAGAGCAAGAGTCCAGTAGCACCTCAAAGACTAACAAAATATGTGGCAGGGTATGAGGTTTCGTGAGTCACTGCTCACTTCTTCAGATACAGACAGACTAACACAGCTCCCCATCTTGATCTACATGGAAGGCACCACATTTAACTGTACAGAATGGAAACCCATCAACTTTGTCAAGAAACTTGCACAGGTACAAACAGATATCTCTCTCACCAAATGCAGACAACTGAACATTATACCAAAGGGACTGAGAATAAAAAACGCACTATAATCCACTTACCCCACAAAGTATAGTCAGAGTTGGTGTCATGCATTTTCCAAGAAGCTACTGAAACATTTGGTCAGGTATCTGAAGAAGTGAGCAGTGACTCACAAAAGCTCATACCCTGCCACATATTTTGGTAGTCTTTAAGGTGCTACTGGACTCTTGCTGTTTTCTACAAAGAACGGTGCATGCAATGTCTTCAGTACTGTGTTCTACTGACATGGTAGAAAATCACCTGATAGTTTACAGAGGATGGATGAATGTGAACGTAGCCCTCATTTTTTGTAACAAATTGCAACTCCCCAGGTTTTGGTTTCATCTTAACAGCTCCTGCACTGGTCTTCTGATACTTCCCATCTGGAATTTTTACCTAAAATGGTTAAAGTAGAAAAGGGTTATTATAGAAGTACTCATAAGCAATTCCTCAATGTAGACTGAGAGAGAAAGAGAGAGTCACTGACTGACTGGTCCAAGGTCATCCAGCAAGCTTCTTGGCTGGGTGGAGATTTGAACCCCAGCCTCCCCAGTTCCAACACTTTGTTAACTACATCACACTGGTTTAGTGTTAGTTGCAGCTTGAGTACCTCTACTCCGGAGACACTGTGGCACCGTAATTAAAAGTATGAGAGATGTGCAGGAAACCACCCACCAATCCACTGCAGTTCAAAGCTCAGCTCACTCACAAGTTATCCTTCAAAAAGCCAGTTTTCCAGAGCCAGGAGATGGACGGGGGAGTGCAACCCTGTTAATTCTCTTGGACCTCTTGGCAGCTTTTGATACCATCAATCACGGTACCCATCTGGACCACCTTTTTTGGAGTTAGGAACAATGCTCCCTCTAAGCTGTGGGGTCTTGGGAGCAAAAATTCTACTTTGTGAGCTACTGGCATTAAAGTTGTGAGCGAGTGATTGCGGCCACTCAATATTTACAATATTTAAAGAGGATTAACCACAATTAAGAGAGACCATTAGCCAGTGTCCCTCAAGCAGAAGGCAGGAACATTGGCTGAAAAGTGCCAGAAGAAAAAATAGCTGCAGAGGACTCCTTAAAATAGGCCAAAATACATGCCACCCACCCACCCATCACACAGGGGTCAGTAAGCTGATCTGATCAAGGAGGAAACTAAAGGCAGCATGTAAACAGACTTAGCTAAAGAGTTTTACTGAAAGTTATTTTTTAAACCAGCATGCAAACTCCCCTGCCTTCCTCTGTGTTGTCACTTGTTTGGGAAAAGGGACTAGAAAGAGAAGGAAGAAATGCTTGAAATTCTGAGATCACGAGGGTCTCTCGGTAGCTTGGCCCACTGGTACCCCTCCTTAGGTTTTGCTGTGGCTCAGGGCTTGGTGAAAAGCCTCTTGCAGGGCAAACCTAAGCAGAACTGCATGCTTTAAGATTGCTCTGCAAGGCTCCTAACACAGAAGTACACCTGAGATTTCTTCACTAGCTTCTGGTTTTGTTTCTAGAACTGTGTTTGGAAATCTGACCTTTGCTCTTGAGCTGCTGTTTGATTCTTGCTATTGTGCAGAACTGGCAAACTGCTTCCCCAGAGAAAACCAGCTCCCCTTTGGGAAAGAACAAGTGTTTCAGCCTATAGGCACTGAGCATAAAACAAGTGACCTGAAAGGGGGGGGGGTACCGCATGCAATGCGCACGTGTGCACACACTGTGAGAACAAACTACCCTCTTACCTGAACTACGTTGGGATACAAAGCAGCACATAATATGGCAGATATCAACTTGGTATTCTCTGAGTTGGCATTTGCCTGCAATGTAAAGAAAATGCAGTCAGGTTTGCAGAGGTACATAGCGAAATTCCATGCACACAATTTTCATGTATTTTCAGGATTTCTGACCCTCTGTGTCCATAGAGATAGGTTTGAAAACATGAAGGAAAAAATGCACTACTAGTCAAGTCAACAAATTCATTGAGACACGGAAACTATTTGTAATATTTTGAAATGACAAGTTTGAAGATAGTGTCCACCATTATGAGTTTCCTTTTTATTTTAGAGTTATGTGTTTATCTGTATTTCTTTTCATAATTATTTCCTACCTTCTATCATTAAAAAAGCAATAAGACAGAAAATAGCATCCAGAGCTAAAGGGATAGAAATTTGGGGGCCTACCCTTGAGCCTGATCTGAAAATTGTATCTAGTGTAGAATGAGGCAGCACGCTTGTTGATGGTGACACCTGCGCGGGCACACATTCAACCAGTGTTGTGCCAACTGTGCTGGCTGCCGATCAAATACCAGATCCGGTTCAAGGTTATGGTTCTGACTGTTAAAACCCTATGCAGTCTGTGACCATCTGTCATGATCTGGGCTGTGCCACCAAGGCCTACTAGGCCCAAGGAGCCTGGCTAGCAGTAGGTGAGGCTGGGCCTACAACTCCCAGAAGCCCCTGGGAGGTTTTGGAGCCAAAATGGACCAATAGGAAAAGAGGAAGGCCTGGAATAAAAGTTCTGGAGCAGCAGGAAAAGGGCATTTGATTTATTTTATTTTCACCCACTTACTGTTATTATTCTGTACCTTGTTGTTTGACCTCCTATAAAATAAACCTTTTTCTTGTTTTACTCTGCCTGGTCCTCACGCCTATTATTCGGCCAAAAGGGAGGTCTGAAGGTCTTGGGAGGGTACTCTGGGCCTTCTCAAGGGAACCTAAATCCAGAGTGGTGGCAGCGTCAGGTGACACCCCACCTGAGCCGTGGCACCATCATACCTGTGGGACCGCCTCTCCCCCTTATGAGCCCAGGAGAGCTTTACGCTCTTCTGATCAACAACTCCTGGTGGTCCCTGGCCCAAGGGACGTCCACTTAGCCTCAACCAGGGCCAGGACTTTTTTGGCCCTCTCCCTGGCCTGGTGGAACATGTTCTGCTAAATAAAAGTGTATTCTTTAAATGTTCTCGCCTCCTTCTATTTCTGGGAATACAGAACCAAGTTTGACCCATGTATGCCTAGGCTTAAAGATGTCAAAAGCAACACGGACTGCTTTAGATGCATGAAAGAAACATTGTACCTATGTACAGGCCAGCAGAACAAAAGGGGGAAAATGCCAGGTAATAGGTGACTGGTTTATTATTTCACTGTCCAGGCTTCATCAGGGGGATCAGAGAATTCATCTAGTGCTGGACCTGTTCACAGCAGTTAATTTCTTTTACGAAATGCACAGGGCCTTTGTATGATAATAAGCCAGTCACCTATCACCAGTGTTCCCTCTAAGCTGAGTTAGTGTGAGCTAGCGCACAATTTTTAAGCCTCCGGCTCACACATTTTTGTTTTAGCTCAGGAAGGATGGCTCCAGAGCAAATTAATTTATGCAGCAGCCAAATCCCTCGCTCACAACTTTAATGCCAGTAGTTCACAAAGTAGAATTTTGGCTCACGAGACTCCACAGCTTTGAGGGAACATTGCCTATCACCTGGCATTTTTCCCCTTTTTGTTCTGCTGGTACATTGCTGGGTATAGCCCAGTTTTTCTTCAGCACACATACAGGCAGCGGTTTGTGTAATGGCAGCTCTTACGTAGAGATTTTTACCATACCTAGTCCCTGAAATCCTGCAGCTACAGATGGCATGGTACCCAGGAGCTCTGAATTCAAATAATGTGCTCTGCTTCCTCCCTCACAGCTTCCTCTCTTTCCCCAATAAGAACCCTGTGGTGAGTCAATTACTCATGTTGCTTCTCTGCCATTAAAGTGCTGCTTCCCAAAACAAGCATAAGAATATTTACAAATTCCACAAAAAATTCAAATGGAGAGGCCAGAATATACATCTGTAGTTTCATGACACTCACAGGTCAATGACAGTACACACATGGCAGTATCCCATTTTAAAGAACGTACAGTGCAGTCCTAAGCTTAGGACCCCTCAAGGACTTGTGGAGTAGTGCCTCACTTCCCCCTCTATACCCCTTCTTTCCCTCCCGTGGGCAACTCCTATATCCTCTCCCCTTTCCCTGCCTCATTCTCTCCTTCTCAGCCTTTCACCAGCCTACATTTTATCTGCCTCCCATCTTCAGCTATATTTATTACTTATTTCATTTATACCCCACCTTTCTCCACAGTGGGGATCAAAGCAGCTTACATAGTTTTCCTCTTCTCCTTTTTATCTGCACAACAACCCTGTGAGGTTACTTAGGCTGAAAGTATGTGACTGGTCCAAAATCACCCAGTGGGCTTCCAAATCAATATGGGGATTCAAAGCTAGATCTCCCAGACCCTACTCTGAAGCTCTAACTGCTACACCACACTGGCTTTCATAGCGTGGATGCTGTTGAACAGTGGCAGGTAGCCAGGCCTAGGTGAGTCATGCAAGTCTGGTGGTATCAAGTCACCAGAGGTTGCTTCTAGGTCTGCAGATCTCCCAGAATTACATCTGAATTCTAGATGCAGAGATCTGTCTCCCTGAAGAAAATGACTGCTTTGGAGGATGGACTCTATGCCATAATATTCAGCTGTGGCATCTCCCCTCTATGATACTATGGTTGCCTAGCAACATCCACTGATGGAATCTGTTGTTTAAAGCTACAGGTGCTCCTTTTTATCATTCTTGGCTTTTTTTTTTTTTTTTAACCCCCATGTTTTTTTGTTTTAGATTTCACATTTTTCTGCAAACCTGGGGCCCTTTTCAGGTTTGTAGAAAGATCTGCCTTGCCCATTCACAGCTCCAGTCACCGGATTTAAGTACTGAAAGTTTGGCTGACTTCACTATTAGAATATAAAATACAGCTGTGTAACTAAGGTACACGGTCGCTTTGGAATAATATCTGCTTCATCGGGCCTTCAGTTGGGCCAAAAAAGGGCAGATTCCACAACCTGAGAGATAACCTTTTCTCTAACTGCAAAAGTAAAAGAGTATCTTCAAAGTCCTGGAGAGAAGACAGTAAGCAGAGGTTGGAAGGGGAGAAGAAGAAGAAAAAAATCACATTACTTGTACTCTTTTTGAATAGATGAGACTTTTCACAAAACAAGGGGGAGAAGCCCTTCAGAGAACAGAGCAAGAAAGCCAGTCATTTCTACAAACGATTGTGAAGTCACACTGCTCTCCATTCCCAGTTACCTCTTCTCCTGTAGCATCCAGAACGCCGTCACCTCCATGAGACCACTTCCTCTCAATATCTTTGGCTCTGAGTCCCTCCTTCACAAATCCAATATCAGACAGTAGCTCAGTGAATTGCCTTTTTAAACTTGCCATTTCCTACAGGGCGGAAAGGGGAGCAGGGCAGAGGTGGGGAGACAGAAGCATGAATAGCCTTTTCAGAGAAGGTTTCTGAACTGCAGTCAATGGTATCCCCCAGCGGTCGGAAGATCAAATTACAGCAGTCATGCTCCCTTTAATGGTCAACTTAGTGCCAAACTACACGCTTTGGTTTTTAACAATTAGTGTCCAGGTTCCCTGCTTCAGGGAAAGGCTTTTTAAAATAAAGGAGAACACTGTCGCTGGGGGAGTGCTCTTTCTGCATGAGAAAATGGCATGGAGAGGAGGCAGGAGCCCTTCCTCCCCCACAGCAGTGTTCCGAGCCCCCCCGACAGGCTCTCCTGTATTTTTTAAAAGCCATCACCCACAGCTGCCAGGTGGCTGCAGTGAACCTGGACCCAGCTTATTAGAAACCTGAACATGTAGCTTGGCCTTTACTCAGCCTTACTAACCTTTCTCTACAAAATCCTACTGTACCAGTTATCTGTTCTCCTATCACAATGTATGACAATGAGGGCCATGTGCCTGCCCTGGAACACACCCCAGGATCCTTTGAAATGTGCAACGGTTCATTGGCAGATATGCTGAGTATTTAGGCAGTAAACAAATGCGTGAAGAGCTCTTGCGAGACAGAAGCTTGAAAAGCACTCCCAAGACACTTGCATATTCTTTGCTGACTGTGTGTACTAGAAATGGGAAGACAGGAGTATGGAATGAAACTACAGCTTCACCCAATATTTTCCCATCTTTCAGGTGAGCTAATCCACTTCAATGGATGGTAATCATGTATGTTAATACTGTGGTTCTCAACCTTTCCTATCTTATGTTCTACCAATCACTTTGTCAAAGAATCTGGGTCTCACCCTGATAAAAACAAAAAGCCCACTTCCCCCCCCCCAAGGACATTTATCTGAGGAAGTGTGCGTGCACACAAAAACTCGTATCTTGAATAAAGCTTTGTTGGTCTTAAAAGTGCCACTGGACTCAAACTTTGTTTTACAGCCATTCAATTATTACTAGTAGCATGTCAAAAGATCACCAATGGATAATCTGTGGCGGGTAGGGTGGGCAGGAGATGGCACATCATCCTTGTAGACGGAAATGGGGACCGAAGGAGCGAGACTTCTTAGTAGCTGTTATGAAAACCCTGTGTCCCACCTATTTCTGCATACCACTGGTGGTACACATGCCACCGGTTGAGAACCACTGTCCTAACATATCTGTCTTATTTAGCCTCAGCCTCTAGGGCAGTCAATACACTAACTGAGTAGCTGAGACACACTGCACCTTCATTCCATCATCTACCCAAAAAGCCCCCACCCCACTTCTCTGAAGGAGCTGCAGCTGTTTTCAGACTTACTACCTCTACACTCTCCTCAGTCTCTTGCATTTCCTGCCTGCTCAAGGCTATGAAAGAGATCCATCTTCCAGTGGCTTAAGAGGCTTGCCTAAGAGACAAATGGCTCAGAACATCTCTTGTAATTGCAAGTTTAGACCTGTACAACATTTCATCAGTGCCTAGGTTGGGTTGAATCTGGCAAGAGAGAGTGGCACAATTGAAAGAAGAAAGAACCATTTTGTATGATCGCTCCCAATATGAACCCATGCGGCTGTTGCATCCCTCATAACAGGGTCTCCAAGCAGTCCCCTCACTCTTGAAAATGTTATTTGTTAAAGCTCAGAACCAGATTTCTTCTGTTGCTGCTCCACCGCTGTGGAAGAGTCTTCTGGAAAAGGTGAGGCCGGCACCTACCCTTGGGGCCTTCTGGTGAGGCTGTGGTGCCAGTATGGCAGTGGAAACCTAAGCAGAGTTACACACACTTTGAAATCTGAGGAAGTCAGTGGGCTTAGAAGGGTGTATATTGGTATATGGTATATGATACAGGGAGCTTTGGCTCTCGAAAGCTTATACCCCCAAAATCTTGTTGGTCTCAAATCTAGCTGTGATTAGGATGGCACTCTAAGAGGGCTTACGGGGCAACTTGAAAGTTATAGATGCTTAACAATACATTTTAATTATTTTAAAAGATGATTGTTTTTGTACAGTGTTTCTTGTTGGTACTTACCTCAGGTCCTGTTGTGTTGGGAAAGAGGGAGTGTATATAAACACCATCGATCAATAAGTCCATCAGTCAAGACTGTTACATTCAATTGCAAACAAAAATGTTAACTTACCAGAAGAACGCTTTCTGATAAGAAGTTTTCTCTGCAAAAGTTGTAACTCGTTCGAGCACCTTCTTTTGAAGCTAGGCGCCATCCCTACAAATGTAATACAAAAGTATTACATTTTACTATGCCACCTTACTTGTTGTTGTTGAATATGTTCACAATAAAAACTGCTTCCGAGCTGAATCACACAGAAGGGTTTTCATTCCTCACCTTATATGCTTGGAGAAGAGCTAGATAATCACTGTTTCCTATTGCAAATTCCAGCTTTTTCTTGAACGCCTCCTCTCTTTTGTCCCATGGAGATACCTTTAAAGGTAAACACTTGGTTACACAAGGAAGTATAATTAAAACTAAAACATGGTTTGTCAGTATTCTACAGTAAATTCTGCCAGGGAAATGGAAAAACCTGAAAATTGCACTCTACAAAATGCATCCAAGAGACACAACCCAGCATGATATTTCCACTGGTAATTTAGGAACAGAAACAGGTTCATCATTCATACATTCATCATTATTAATTACATTTGTATCCTACCCTTCTGTTGCATACAAACTACAATTCTGTTTATTTATCCTGTGAAGCAGGTTGGCTGAGAGACAGTGGTTTGCCCTAGGAATGGTATAAATGAAGTACACAAATAATTAAATTTCAACCCAGGTTTCCCTGGGCCAAGACCTCTACTTGCTGCATCTCTCATACTCTCAGGTCTGATTCTACTGAAGATATACTTAAGGCTTAATGCATTGTTAGCTTACAGAATGCCTTGGACAGCTTAAAAAGACCCAGAGAACCTCCATGACCAAGGGTAGAATAAGTCTGCTTACCAAGAAAGGGATCAAAACAATAAAGGAAGGTCAGGCTATAATGCCTTAACTGAGAGCTTCCCAAGAACATCCAGCTGATCACTGTTGGAGATAATGAACTAGATGTCCCCACAATGTCTGATGAAGGAAGGTGATTCTTATTTTCTGGGAGAACTGACAAGTGGGCTTCTATTCTTTAAGACAGAAGGCAAGTGCTGTAACTGCAGAGTTGGAGGCACTCCAAAAGAGAGATCGCTGCTTGTGGCATGTATACTCATCCCAATTTTTCTGGTTTGGTATTGTAAAAAAACCCCAAAAACTGCACTGCAAAATTGGTTGCATTGGAGGGTACAGTGGGACAAAAGAAATCACAGGAAATAAACTTCTATCATGCCACTTTAAACGTGTCTCCAGCCTGAGTTCCTCAGGTGGATTCATCCTTGTCAACAGCTTAGGAAGCGTTCCCATGAATGCGTTGGCATAGCTTAGCCCAGGACTTACAAAAGGGGTCTTATAGGTCCGGCTCGCTGCTATAGTCAGTGCAGGATCCAGGCAGCGGAAGATGGTGCCAAAAAGCATTAGCTTCCCAATCCTTACATCCACAGGCAAGGAAGCCAAATGATACCCCAAGGGAGTGAGCTTTTCATCTGACGTTAAGGCTCCTACATCCTGCAATCGCAGTTTTGAGGCACGTAGAGAATCTGATGTTGGCGGCTCAATCAATCGTGATAAAATAGAGTGAAGGCTTTGTGTAGACAACATCTCCAAAACCTTAATTCTGAAAGAGAGCCAGAGAGAGAGAGAGAGAGGGCTTTATTTACTTTTCACCTAAGTATATTCTGCTCCTGTCATGCTTTTTTGAGGCATAATGGCAGAATCTGGTAAATCCATAAAATCTATATTTAAGAAGATATAGGGATTCATTAGAATTATGAACATCCCAGTTTGAATTTTTTTAAAGAGAAGAGTCTGACCAAACACACCAGCACAACAAGGCTGCCTTCATTTAAATAAAATAAATTGCCACTATAGCATCAGTGAAACTTGGCTCAGGCAATTTCTGATATTACTGGGCTTGGTAACTTCCTACATGTAACAGATCAAAATCTACAAAATGTGCTGCCAGGGTATCCTGGGGGGAAGCCATGGCTGCTGATGGAAGAACCATTTACCGAAGACATAGCTGTTCCAAAGGCACTCTTTGGATTTCTGGCAGTGGCTGCTTTAAAAGGTGATGGTTATAATGATGGCTAGTGAAGAGATGAAAGCAAACTCCAGAGGCAACACGACCTGCTCGCCCTTTCCTCTGCAAGGCGTTGGCTTTGGACACAAATGTATCCTCCAGGCTTTCCATGCCTTTACTTGGATCATATCTACAAGGACAGAAAGTATGGAACAATGTTTAGAACACTGAGATTGGGAATATAGGAAATGTGTGTGTTAGGATGCCAGGTGCTTCTGGATCACTATTTAACAGTTTAAAATTATGTGTACACATTGTTTTGCAATTCTTTTTCTTATTCAGAAATCAAATACACCCGCTAATCTCTCCTGTCCCTTTCTGAAGACTTGAAGTTTAGGTTTTGACAACATAGAAGGGAGAGAGAGTCGAGATGGAAGAAAGGAAGATAAAAATAAGCATTAAAAAAACCCCCAAAACTCATAGTTTATAATGGATGGTGCTTGGTTAAAATATTATGGACAGACATTGGCACAAGCTGATGAAAGTTTCCTTTTTCAATCTGCAGCAGGAAAATACGAAAGGAGGAAAAACACTGAGAACATGAACGTTACAGAGTCTTTTAAGAGGAAGTGGAGAACAAACTGTGTGAAATAGCAAGGAAAAGAGAATTCCAGTCACAAGAGAAGTGAAAGATAGCAAGTTTCCAAGCATTGTCTAGCTTCCAGGGCACAGGAGAGCCCATGTCCAGTCAAACGTAGGGTGTCCTGGTTGAGGTGTTAAATATTTATTTATTAACTGTTTATGCCCTGTGTTTCTCTGTGGCTCAAGGCTGTTTACAATATATAACCTAAAACATCCAATGACAATAAAAACCCAAAGTGGTGTAGTGCTCAGAATGTCAGTCTAGACCTGTAAAACCTGGGTTCAAATCCTCATTCTGCCATGAAAACCAACTGGGTGACCTTGAGTGAGTCACTCACTTTCAGTACATTCTCTCACAGGTTGTTGTGTGGATAAAGCGGAGCAGAGGAGAACAATGTAATCTGCTTTGGGTCCCAACTGGAGAAAATGGCATTGTACAGATGAAGTAAATACAATAATTTAAAACCTAAAAAAATGAACTTCTGACATTGTATTTTGAGGTTCTAGAGAGTAAATTGAAATGCATATGAATTCTTCCCCTGTCCATTCCGTCATCACAACTTCCCTTCCCCTCCCTTTAGTTGTCTCCTTTCTCTCAGACTTTAGACTTTACCCGTCTTCTTGTACTCTGTAAAGTCTCACATGTAATGATAATGCTGCATAAGTATTACTATTACTAAATATGGAATGACAAAACTGACAACATGAGGAATCTCTACGCAGTTAGGTTTTTTTCAGACACACCACAAGATAATCATGTCCCATAGTTACTGTGCCCCCCTCCCTACCGAGGTTAACCCAAGTACCTCTTTTCTTTCATCTTCCCTGAGTCAATCACATAGACCACATCGTCAATGGTAATGGATGTTTCTGCAATGTTTGTTGATATGATGATCTTGGTGACCCCCATGGGAGGCTTCAGGAACACACACTGTTGCTCTTCACTGGAAAGTGAGGAGTGGAGTGGGTAAACCACACAGCTAAGAGAAAAATATCAAAGCACAAAGGAGGTTTCTGTGTTAGTCTGTTTGCATCTCTGTATGGAGTTTTCATCTCTGAACTTAAAAAGAATTTCAGCTCAGTTTAGGTTCAAGACAATCAAGTGATTTTAGGCTCAGGGTCAGAGGAAAAAACTCTTTTGAGCTAGGGTTCACATTTGGATTTAACATCTAGTTTTAGATGCCAAGCTCCTACAGTGCCATGGGAAGCACTGGGAAAAAACTGAGAAACAAAGAACCCCCCAAATAAGCATCAAATGTACATAAAGTGTAATTTTCACATTCTTCAAATATCTGGAAAGATAGGAATAGACAGCCTCTGAATAGAGACTGTAGTCAGTGGCCTGCTTTTTCCTCGAAAGGCTAGCCAGAGATATGTTTGTGTCAGATACTATTC